GGAAATGGATGGGGGCTGAATACTCTCTTTACCCAGAATCACCCCCTCCTCCATTTGGCAAAACTTCTAGCCCATCGAGACCTGCCCGATTTGCTTTCCCCTGAAGACTCCCCTTGCGTCTATCACTTGCTTACCCATGTTCTTACTTGACCACGTGTGCTTACCTGTGTCCATTCATGCTTCAGGCACCGGGCATTGCCCGGCCCGGGGCTGGTTGCTGGGGGCAGGGAAATAGGGGACATACTTCTTCAGCCTTCCGGCAGCTCACGGTTTAGTTTCAGTGACAGAGGATTATGGTCAACTAAAATGAGTGGGGGCAGGGAGGGGATGGTCCTGGATTAGACGCAGCTTGATCACAGAACAAAATTCTGCAGCTACAGACCAGGCTACAACAAGGTCTTAGAGTACTGAGATTTTACCAGGGGTTTTTTTTGAATTTTTTTAAATGTTTTTTTAATTTATCTTTGAGACAGAGAGAGACAGAGCATGAGCAGGGGAGGGGCAGAGAGAGAGGGAGACACAGAATCCGAAGCAGGCTCTAGGCTCCGAGCTGGCAGCACAGAGCCTGACGCGGGGCTCAAACTCACGGACCTCGAGATCATGACCTGAGCCGAAGTGGGACGCTTAACCGACTGAGCCACCCAGGCGCCCCTACCAGTTTTTTTTAAGGGCCCCTCAAGTGATATAACTTATGCCTCGTGCTCAGGGACTTCCAAGCCCGTTAGTTGCTGGCCCTTGAGGGCCACCAGCTACCCTGCACCTTCTTCCCGCCTGTGTGGTGACCCTGCTCCCCTGCAGGATTGATGGGGCAGCTGTATGAGGCATCCGCGAGGATGCTAATGTCACAGGGCAGGCCAGAGGTCAGTTGGGGTTGATCTAGGTGGGGGTGGCAGGGGTCTCGGGAGGAGGGACAGAGGTGAGAGACATCTGAGGTGAATGGGCTTGTGACTGCGTGTGTGGATCAAGGGAGAGGAAAGGACCCGTACGCAAATCTCAAGTTCATTCATGCCAACTCCCTGAGACTCCAATCTGCATTGCTTCCTCTTGGATCAGAGAAGTTGACCCAAATGACCCCCCATTGATAATGGTGGACCCCTAAGGTGGGATGGGTGGCTGTAGGATCCTAAAAGGAAGGGAGGGAGGAGAGTTGAACAAAATAGCTCCGTGCTCTATGATGCCTTTGCTTTGGGACAAATCAGGAGGATTTTGGAAACGGGTCACTTGGGTACATGGTATAAAAATGTGGTGCCTGGTGAAAACGAGAGGCGGAGCTTACGGAACGCTCGACACGTTTTTGTCTGAGTCCTCCAAGTGACCCGCATCCTTATTTCACCGATGAGGGCTTTGATGCGAGACAGGAGGGAGCATGTGGGGTGACTCTAGAAACAAAGCTGGCGGGGCAGCCGGGAGACCCGCGGCCAACTCCCTCGGCTCTGCAGACCACGTTATGTGGGGGGGCCAGATTCCAGTAGCCCTTACTAGGGCTCCTTTGTGACTTTCACGTTAATTTAGGATGCCAGTCTAGACTTCCTAATGATGCCTTAGAATGGTTAGGGGGGGTTTCAGAGCCCTGAAGAGGGCTGACTACAGATGTTGCTGAGGTCGGCATGGTTCCTGAATGTCTTAGTTCGGGCTGCTGAACAAAATAACCCTGGACTGGGTGGTCAGCCAGACAGTTATTTCTTGCCTTTCTGGAGGCTGAGAATCCTAGATCATGGTGCCAGGAGATTCAGTTCCTGATGAGGGCTTGCTTTCTGGATTGCAGATAGGTGGTTTCACTCTTTGTCCTGATACTTTGGAGAGGGGGAGAGAGAACCCTCTGGCATCTCTTCTTCTTTTTTTTAACGTTTATTGATTTTTGAGACAGAGAGAGACAGAGCATGAACAGGGGTGGGTCAGAGAGACAGAGGGAGACACAGAATCTGAAACAGGCTCCAGGCTCTGAGCTGTCAGCCCAGAGCCCGACGCGGGGCTCGAACCCACGAACCGCGAGATCATGACCTGAGCCGAAGTCGGTGCCTGAGCCACCCAGGCGCCCCTGGCATCTCTTCTTAAAGGGCCCCAAACCCAACATGACCCCACCCTCATGGCCTTGCCTAAACCTAATTCCCAGGAGCTCCGTCTCCAAATACCATCCCACTGGAGGAAGGGCTTCAGCATGTGAATTCGGGGGACACGATTCAGTCTGTAGCAGTGAAGTTAGGTCTGATCTCACACGCACCCTAACCCTATCCTTCTCATCCAGAGCTGGGGGCTCTAGGTTTTTACGTGTGAACACTTTTTAATCTTAAAATACTTCCTGGCTCTCCAGCTTGATACTTAGTTGAATCATACTCGTGTGCTATTTGCATCTATCGTTGGGGAGAAAAACAAACTCTGAAAAAGAGTGCCACGATTTTAGTAATCGCTATGTTCTCAAACGGGTTACGGCACAAAAATAGCTCGATATGTGTTTGTCAGCATGTAACAGGCCTGCCTCTGCAGACCACACCCTTGAATCCCAGCACCAACTCCAGGCTTTCAGAGACAAGGGGGAATGACACCATGAGAAGCAGCTGGCAGGCCAGCATCTGGGCAGGGCACTGGGGAAGGGGGTCTGAGGTAGGAACTGAGGTGGGCGGGGGGGAACGTGGCTTATTAAGACGTGGCAGGTATATAACCCAGAAGTGACTCTTGCCAGACCCTGAGGGAACAGGTCTCAGGGACCGAAGTCTGGGAGCAGAGACCACTGGGTGGGGCGTGGGAGGGCCCCTTGCAAAGTCTCTCCCAGGAAGGGGGAGCTCATTCGGTGAATGGAGAACTCAGTTGTCAAAACTGGGGCCCTGCGTCCATATTGGGGCGACTTGATGTTGACCTAGAGAGCACTGCATGGTGGGGGTGGGGAGCAGAGGAGATGCTAACAGTTACAGGTGCTTCCCACGCCCTGGGAACTTGTTGGGTCCCTAAGGTTTCAGGGCCTCAAAGGAACCCTGGAGGTTGATCTTGCTGGCTGGAAGGTGCAGTTAGGAAAGGAAGGCCATGGTGAGGTTAAGTCCCTTTCCTAGAACACACGGTCATAGTGGAGGACCTAAGATCAGGACACGGGCCTCCCTGGCCCCAAAGCCTGCAGTCCCTCTACATTATTACTGCCTGTGTATCTCCTACTTCCGGTCATCAGGGTAAACCAGTGGGGCAGCGAGCGGATGGGTACAGAGTAATCTGATGGGCACGAGCTCTGTCGCCCCATCAACCCCGCCCCCCTGATGGCCTTTGGCCCACTTTATCCTTTTTCTCTTTGCATCCTTAGAGCTGTGCTGAGTGGAGAAAGCGCACCAAGATAGTTGAGGGAAAAGCATATTACGTCCGGAATTCCTGAACTCCCAGCCCGATTTCCAAGACCTAAGGCCGTTCTGGGGGGAATTGGAGCCCTGCGTAAATTTGCAACGTATGGCGCCTACTTCTGCAATTATTATCAAGGCGGAAAGCTGGCTAAAGGCATCCCCGTGAGCCCGTAATGCAGCTACAGACTCTGGGGCTGGGTTGCGCGTTTTCGGGTCCCGATGAGGGTCCACGTGCCCAGCTCTCTGACCCTCGGGACCTTCCCTGATCTCTTCAGGCTTTGGGTTTCCCATCTGTAAGATAAGTAACAAAATAGCTCCTAGATCCATAGTGAGGGTTAAATACACAAAGTGCTTGAACTAACGCCGGCTATCTAGGATGCGTTCCGTGAAGGGACCAAAAGGGACGTCGCAAAGTAGGGGCTGGCAACCTGAAAGGAATCTCATCACGAAAGGAGAAGAGAGAGGAGAGCCGCCTGCTGAGGCCAGTCGTGTTTTAGCCGCTCACAGCGGTCTTCCTTCCTTCTTTTCTTCCTTCTGTTAATAACACCCAAGCTGCAGGTACCAGGCACTGTGCTGGGTGCAAAGGCGGAGAGGCCGCCCGGGCGGGGGAGGCTGAGTGAGTGTGCGGTGGCCCCGGGCATGCCTGGCCCGGGTCGGGTGACCTGAAGCAGAGCCTGAGCCTGTCCCCGTGCTAGGGACTGAGGGCGTACTCTCGGAAAATGGAGTGAGGGAGGCAGAATGGGATGGGGGCAGAGCTCAGAGGGAATGTGGTCTCAGGCAGCTTGATCGAACGGAAGACTCTAGAGGGAATGCCATTTTGAGGCAAGGAGGGGTGGCCGTTGTACCTCCCGGGTTATTCAGGCGCTGGCCGCGGGCCGCCCCTGGGAGGGTGGGAGTGGGATATGTGTCCCCCTCCCCCCCCCCACACTGAGAAAGCCTCCTTTCGGCCAGTGGTGATGGTTCAGAGTGGGGGCGGGGGCGAGGGGGGCAGCCCACAGAGGGGCCCCGGGCAGAGCAGCGGCCTCCAGTAAATCACCCCGGTGTCCGGGGAGGAGAGGGGACGGGATATGAAAGATGGGGGCTCTTGTTCTGCAACTCTCAGTATCCAGGAAGCTGTTTTTACAGTTTTTGCTTTATCCTTCTCAACCAGGTTGTCCACTGGCTATCAGCGCCCGTGTCTGACGTAGGTGGCGAGGGTTCGTGCAGGTAGGAATAGGCGCGAGGTAAATTAATGGCATTAATTTTTTTTTTTTTTTTTTTATTGTATGAAATACAGCCTAGAGAGTGTTAGGTGTAAATAATGGAGAACTTGTTATTTCAGTGCTCTCGATTTCCATGCCGAGGCCAAGTTCCGATCCCATAAATTCCTGTGATAGATACTATATATTCTTCCCACCCTCACTACCAGTTTCCAGTCCCTTATGCCAAGGGTAACAGGAACAGGGACTAACGTTACAGCAGAGCTCCTGAATATGCTTTATCTTGCCTGGTTTTCATCAAGCCTGAGAAGCCCCCCTATTGGTCTTGGGAAATCCATCAGTCTCTCGTTCATCTTTTCCTTCCTCGCTTTCCTGTAGCCCTCTCAGTCCTAGCTGCTGCCCGGATCAGGTACCGGGTGCCTGGTGTCAAACTCACTCTGTCACTGCGACCCCTCAGCAAACTGTTGACTTTTACGGAGACCTAAGAGAGAGGATTTTTGCCCAAAGCTCTGAGCAAAGCATCCTTGACTTCTTTGTTCCTCAGGCTGTACACAACAGGGTTGAGGAGGGGTGTGATGACCGTGTAGGTCACGGAGATGAGCCTGTCCTTCAGGGAGTTGTGAGACTTGGGTTTTAGGTAGATGACGGAGACGCAGCCGTAGTGGACGACGACCACCGTGAGGTGGGAGGCGCAGGTGGCAAAGGCCTTCTTCCGGCCCTGGGCAGAGGGGATCTTGAGGATGGTGGAGACAATCGGGACGTAGGAGATGAAGATCAGCACCATGGGCAGAACAAGGACACACAGACTGATGAGCAAGGTGACAAGTTCTTTGATGGTGGTGTCAGCACAGGCCAGCTGCATCAGGGGCCGGACGTCACAGAAGAAGTGGGAGATGACGTTGGCATCACAGAAGGGCAGGCTGAACACAGACGACACCTGAATGATGGCCGTGCTCAGGCCAATGCTCCAGGAGCCACTCGCCAATTGTAGACAAGTCCTTTTGCCCATGACGACGGAATACCGCAGGGGGTTGCAGATGGCCGCGTAGCGGTCATACCCCATGGCCGTGAGCAGGAAGCAGTTGTTGATGCCGAAGGCGAGATAGAAGAAGAGCTGAGTGGCACAGTGTGGGATGGAGATGGCTCGTTGGGGGCTGAGGAGACTGGACAGCATGCGGGGGATGATGGCCACCGTATAACAGGTCTCGGAGACGGACAGTACGCTCAGGAAGAAGTACATGGGTGTGTGAAGTTGACGGTTGAGGCGGATAACGGTCAAGATGATGGCATTGCTGGTGAGGGTCAACAGGTACAAGACCAGAAAGACCACAAAGAGAATGAGTCTGTGCTGCCACCCAAAAACGGAAAAACCTTCAAAGGTGAACTCTGTCACGGCGGTCAAGTTGAGTCTTGGCATCGAGGACAATCTGGGTCTGAAAGAGATGAAGCGGGGAGGTTGAACCTCCGGGATGGAAGCAGGAGGCTGGTCCACGGTCCTCGTCAGCCACGTGCAGGGGCGCGAAACGGGTGTAGCTCCCGGTTTCCGAAGCTCTCAGCTTTCAGACACTGGCCAAGTTCACCAAGACTTCCCAAGGTTCGCAGGGGCGTGGCGCTGGGAGGCAGATGCAGGGGGGTGGGGAAGAGAGTAAATACCCGCAGCGAGCGGTGGAAGCACCTCACGTGCTTGGCTGGAGGGGCTGCAGACCAGAGAAGGCACTAGACTGAGTGTGCACAGCCTGGAAGTCCGCCCACACTCCCCTGCTTTGGCCCAGCAGTGACGCACCGCCTGTCAGAGAGCCAGTTGTGAGGGGACCTCCATAGAGCGAGAATTCAAGCCAGGGACAGGTCGCTGCCGGAGGCATGATTCTGGGAGGTAGGCGGCCAGACCCAGGTATGCTCAAAGCACATAGTATTGTCCTCCCCGTGGGTCAAATTCAAAATGGCCAGTGTCTGGACTAAGGCGGGGAGAGGAGACACTGGTTTTTTCTCTTGATGAGAGGCTAACGTGTGGACCCAGGACACTATGATCCAGAGCCTGATTCTTGCTTTCCTCCCTGTGCTCCCCAAATACCCTGTGTTTCAACACCTGCATCCCCTCCCTTCCGTGTGGAGGGTCGTTTCTGCTTGTTTCCTAGTCTCTAGTCGAGCACAGTAAGCCTCTCAGACATCCTAAAGGTTTGAAGTACTGGTAACTCCAAGACAAGAGTGATAAAAATAACAAAATATTGACGTTTCTAGGAACCTCCGGCTTCAACCTTAGTGTAAGTAGAAGATGCTTGCTTTACTTTGCTCACTTTGTGTGTGTGTGCTCGTCTATAAAATAGAATAATATATCGTCACAGTGTTGCTATGGAGATTATATTAATTACTCTGTGCAAATAGCCAAGCGTAGTCCTTGATATGTAACAGGCAAACGGTACATTCAATTTCTGCTCCTTCACCCACCCTCCCCATCCCCACTTCCAGTTGGGTTCTACTTGAATGTCAGACCCACCCAGACATCGTGCAGGGTTCTCGTCCTTGATTTGTCCCATCTCTGTTGACTGCGACGCTCGGTCCTCCCTTCCCACCTCCTGCCCAGTTCTAGATTCTGCACCCTGGAGGGGGGCTGGGGCTGGTCTGGAGTCCAGCACCCCCGTGAGCAAGCCCCAGCTCTACCGGCTTCATGTTTGACCTTAGAAATGTTCCCTCATCTCCTCAGGCCTCGGTTTCCCCCCTTGTAAGATGAAGGCAGGACCGATCTCCACGGAAGAGGACCGACGGAAGAATTACACAAGAAGATGCCTAGAAGGCATTGAGCAGAAGGCCTGGTATACAGTAGGCCATCAATAAATGGAAACCATGGGGGCGCCTGGCTCAGCCGGTTGGGCATCCAACTTCAGCTCAGGTCATGATCTCACAGTCTGTGAGTTCACGCCCCGCGTCGGGCTCTGTGCTGATGGCTCAGAGCCTGGAGGCTGCTTCGGATTCTGTGTCTCCCTCTCTCTGCCCCTCCCCTGCTCACACTCTGTCTCTCTCTCTGTCAAAAATAAATAAACATTCAAATAAATAAGTAAATAAACAAATAAATAAATAAATAAATGGAAACCATTGATAAAGATGAGCATAGATGTCAAAATAGGAATAGTTTAGGTCATTGTTTTTGTCTTCACTTCTCTCCCAAGTCCCAGCTCAGGACGTGGCTGGTCTTCATGTAGCTAGAACGTATTTACCAGCTTGCTGCATAGAGGGTGCTCTGCTAGCTTTTGGAGACAGGAGGAAGAGGAGGAGGAGAAGGAGGAGGAGGAGGAGGAGGAGGAGGAGGAGGAGGAAACAGGGAAGGAGACATTCCTGCAGGGGAGAGAGTCCCAAGGGCAGGGGCAGCGTGCGGGTGTGGGTCGGGATGGGTAAGCCTCTCCCAGTGCAACAATTCTGCAGGCGTGCCTGCGTCCGGGGCCTTCTTCTCGGGCTCTGCTTGGACTCCTGCGCTCGGGAGACTCTACTTCAGCCATTCACTGATCCTCACTTTCCTGGCCCCTGCTTGAGATCTGGGGCAGGAAACGGGAGGAAGTGGCGGGGACTTGTATATTCGGGAAATCCACTTTTCCTGGTGGAAAGGGCCCACGTGGGTCCACCCCGCCAGAGTCTGGTGGCTTGTGGCTTGCCACCAGGCCCCGTTCACCAGGAGTGTGACAGGTAGGACTGTGAGGGGTGAGAGTGCATGTTCCCAGTTCCCCTGGCTCCCCCTTCAGCCTTTAGTTGTTTTGTTGGGCTAAAGGGACCAATGAGGCCTTTAGAAAGTTCTGCCTCAGGTTTTTCTAAGGCTAAGTCCCAGATAACCCTTCCCGAATGATTTTTTTTCCCCCAGTACGTATAATGCTTTTTATTCCCTAAATCTTACAGCCCAGCTACACAGTCATTGTTCCACTTGACGACAGTCCCAGGACAGAGCAGAAAAAGAAAAGTTGGTGTCCCGTGAGCAAGAGTCGTGAGGCCGCGCCCAGTCAGACAAGAACCCTGCTTTTACTGAGTGGTGGAGGGTGACTCACCTCTCACCAGGCAGGGCCAAGACTCAATCTGGCTTCAGAGAGTAAGGCTGGAGAGCCCCGGCCAGCACGCCTGCTCCGCTGGGCAGGTGCAGCACGCTCAGAGTCTTCTGAAGGGAAGCCTGGAAGAAAACCTTAGAACCTGCCCGGGTCTGTCTGTTAATTCCTGCGCTGATTGGTCAGGTCTGGGAATCACAAAAGCAGCCCTAGGCTCCCCTGTGCCTTCCCGGAGCCCTGCCCCTTACGTGTGTATTACAGGCTGTCAGGGAGGACTGTTCCCCCCGGGCCCCTGGGCCCCGGGGTCCCTTTCCCCAAGGGGGCAGTAGCAAGATCCAAATCTGCTGATGTCTGGGGACCTCATTAGAAAGGGGGCTCATCAGCCCGATCACATGGACGGTATGTGTGTAGGCGATCTGGGGTTTCCAGCAGGAACAAAGCCTTTGCATCAAGACACGGCCCTGATCTCCGTAGATGATGAGGAGCTCTTGTCTCCAGACCCAACCATACTTTCACATGTTTTTTTAAATTTATTTTTGAGAGAAAGACACAGCGTGAGCAGGGGAGGGGCAGAGAGAGAGGGAGACACAGAATCCAAAGCAGGCTCCAAGCTCTGAGCTGTCAGCACAGAGCTTGACACGGGGCTCGAACCCACAAACTGAGACCATGACCTGAGCTGAAGTCGGACGATTAACCAACCAAGCCACCCAGGTGCCCCAGGACCCAACCACGTTGAAGGGTGCAGCTTTATTAGTCAAGCCACTCGTGCCCTGGGGTCTCGTGCCCTAATTGCTGAAGATCCGTGAGGCCCCTAGCAATTCAAATATTCCAGAAGCTGTGACTCATTCACTTGTGGATGCTTTCAGCAGGTGCTCACTGAGCGCTTTGCACGCGCCAAGGCCAGGGAATGTGGCGGCAGCTGGGGACACGGCATCGTACTGACGCCAGTCCCGCTGCTTGCTCGTCAGTCCAGAGCATCGCTTCGAATCGCTGGAGAGAGCAGACAACCTCCAGATTCCTGCCTCCCTCCCATGTCTCCTGGCCTTTGGGCAGTCAGCAGACCCAGCCTTGTCTGCCTCTCCTGCAATGGGCCCAAGACGGGCCTTCCCAGAGGTTGAAGGCAACCCAGACACTGACCCGCCAGCTTCCCTGGGACTTTGACTCCTTGGTGTTTCCTAGTTCTGGAGCTCAGTTTATGCCTTTCTCCTAGAGACCTTCCCAAAGTACGAAAGGCTCCCTTTCTAAGAACCAGCATGCTTGAGGCATGAATACCTGGGAGTAAGGTAGTTTATTAATGTGTCTTTGATAAGCTGGGTCAATGGAGACTGACAAACCAGCATGGGATAATTGCCAGCCATCCAGTCCGGTCCCACATGATCTCTCCTGGCCCCAAATGTTGACCCGAGAGAAACCGGAAACACTCGGGCTGATGAGCCATTAAGAGCAGAGAGACCCACAGCTAAGAGAGATACTACATAGTGTATTTACCACTGCTGGGGGAGCCTACAATAAACCAGGGA